TTTTTTTTTTATTTGCACAGGCATTGAACCCATGGGTGCTCTATCACTGAGCCACATCCTCAGTCCTTTTTTTTTTTGAGACAGAGTCCTGCTAAGTCCTTAGGGCCTTGCTAAATTGCTGAGGCTGGCCTCAAACTTGCAATCCTCTTGCCTTAATCTGAATCGCTGGGATTACAGGCATGTGCCATCATGCCTGGCTCTCCTAGGTCTCTTCTAACCAGCTCTTATTCCTTTTCTACAAGCTTTCAGCTCATATTTTTGTGCATCTTTCATTGAGATTTCTGGCTTTGTGTTGATTTCTTGGTGCTCTTTATATATGGAGGAGTGTAGTAACTATGTGCCTAAGGATTGAGTGGCCCCATGATGAAAGTGCCCCTGGAATGAGATCTTTCTTCTGATGAAAATGTACATGTGCACACCTGACCCAAGGGGCAGGTGAAATCCTCCCACACCACCCCAATATCTTGAACTTGTAAGGAAAAATCTGCCGACTGAAAGCAAAATGGCAAAGGCTGCAGGGCCTGTGCACAGCACCTCTGAGCCTCCCCCCACTCTCCAGCTCAAAGGGAAGCTGGGGAAGTTGGTGTCTGTGGGAAGGGGCCAGGGGGCTGCCCAGAAACCCTGGGACATCTGCACAACTGAGAAAACAGACCCAGAGAATCAAGGAGTATGCCTGAGCACACCGCTTGCCGGAATCCTGCTTGCACCCCTCACCCCCTCTGGGTGCCCTCCTCTCCCCAGCCGCCGCGCCCCCATGGATCTTTCTTCCATGCATCTCTCAGAGGCTGGCCCCGCACTGATCTGGGCTGCAGGAAGGACGGCTGCTCATGGCCTTTACCCAGGGGGCATCCCGGCCTCCTGGTGTATTGCACACATTCAGTGGGATTGTGGGAAGGGCACTTGGAATCCTGGTCTCCCACCTGGTCACCTCACTGGGTCTTTGCCTGGCTTTTCCTCCTCTGTCTCGGGCCATCTCCTAATCAGCTCCCCCTCACAGCAGCTCCTGAGCACTTGGTTGTTTACCTCATGTCTGTCCCTTCCCCTCCTGGAGCCTGTAGCGCCATTGGTGGCCCGATCCCATTACAGGGTGCTGGCTGAATGAATGGCGGTGAACTCATGGCTGAGGTGAGGACCCTGGGGTGGAGAGCCCTGAGGTGTGGCCCCCTGGTTTATTGGCCCAGTGTCCTCTGACCCTGGCCTGGGTGTCCTAGGGAGGCGCTGAGACATAGATCTGCCCCCAGGAGGCCCAGAGTACAGTGGGAGGGGTGGCCAGGCCTCCAGAGCCCTGGGACGCCAAGGCTACGGAGCAGCCGGGACAGGCTCCCTGGAGCAGGGTCACAGGCAGGTGTATCTCAGCCTTTGGCCCCCAGATACTCCGCACAGGGTCAGCCTTCAGGTTTGGTGACTTTCTAGTGGCTGCTGATAATGAAGGCGGTGTGCCTGTACCCCCAGCCCCACTCTACACAGCAGGGTCTGTGCAGCAGGGATGTCACCATTGCCGGGTCCCCCAGATGCATTAATCCTCTCTTTGTTTTAAGCCAGTTCTGGCGATTCATTCACAAGGTCAAGTTTGATAACAATTCTCCCCAGTTCTGGGAGGGAGGCTCTGAATGGTCACATCAGCTGTTCATGGTGCTATGGTGGCATTTGGACCTGGCCATTCATCTGGAACTCCCACCCTGACCCCTGGCCTCCGTGCTGCACAGAGAAGGTGCAGTGCTGGTTGCTGGGCAGAGTCCAGGCAGGGGGTCCCTGGGGTGGGCTCTGGTGGCCAGAGCCATGGGCAGGACAGGTGCAGGGCGGGCAGGTGGAGCGGCTGACCCAGGGATGTGCACACTTTGGCCCGGGAGGGGCTTTGGGCAGACGGATTTGGAGCTGCAGTCCAGCCCAGGAGGAGGCTGGGCCGTCCACCTTAAGCGCCATCACCTAGCTGTTGTGGGAAGAGACGCTGAGACACGCTTTCCATCCTCCACATCTCTGCTCCTGGCCCCGCTCCCTCAGACACTCAGGGCCTGATGGCACAAGCCTGGCTGCAGCTGTGACATAAAGCTGACTCTGGATGCTTTGACTGCTTCCGGTCCCCCTGCTCCAGGCCTTGGGAAGCTTCAAGGACTGACACAGGCTCACAGCAGCAGTCACGTCCACCAGACAGGGGAGCTGGATGCAAGGGAGGAGAGGAAGGGCGGGCTGAGGGGGGGACCCTTCTCCTAGCAGAGGACAGGCCATGGGGACAAGCTGGAGTCCTGGTGTCCACCTGGGCCCTTTTTCTCCCTCTCCCCAGCACCCCAGTGTTGCTCACCAGCCCAGCTGACCGCAGCACTGGGCTCCGAGTTCTTGTGTATTCCCGCCTCCACCCCGTGCAGGCTGCATCCCCAGCACCATGTCCCCTGGCCTGGGTCCCCTGTCTCCTGGGACCCTGAGCACCTGCAGGCAAGGCTGGAACACTGGCTTCTTGCTCTGCCCCGCAGCCCCTCCCCCGGCCATGGTCAGCCCTGGGCCCTGCAGCCCCTC